GCTTGCTAAAACCACTCCAGAGAGTCCATATAGTAGACCCTGTTGAGCTCCTCCGTCCCCTCGGCAGCCAGACTTCCGAAACCTCCTTCGGGAAGGTTGGAGCTTACGTAACGTCCCTGTTCCAAGTAGAACGGGTACGTTTTCCAGTGTTATCCAGTCTTACTCATTGGGTAGTGCGATAGTAGTAGTAGCTGATCCTCTTGTGAAGCCCTGGCCTACGCCAAAACGTAGGGGCGCAGGTGGCTTCTACAGGACACTGGAAGGGGCAGTAGCTGTGGCCCTTTGTTAGGGGGTTTTGTTCACAGTAAGCATTGGATGTGAACTATGAAAATTTATGTTTTATGTAAGGTTGTTTCAGTGTAGTTATTTTTCTTGTCTGGATTTTTCTCTCTCTGCAGCTTCAGATAACAGCCAGAGGTTTCAGGAAACGTGTTTTGCATTTGCATTGACGCCACAGCAGGTCCAACAAGTCAGCAGCTCAATGTAAGTCTGTTTATTCATAACATTTCCTTCAGAAATTATATAATGATGTTACAAAGCAAAATCCCAAAATAAGAAGAGGAGTGTCTATAAGGCACTGATTGTGTGATGTCATGTTGGACTCATTTATTATCTCAAATTAGTAGTTTTCGAATTTCTCTCTGTATAGGGACATATCGGGGACCAAATGTGACTTTACAGTGCAAGTACAGTTACGGTAAGTTATTCACATTTTGATACACTGAAACGTTTTGCATAAATATGATACTGTATAAAACTTCAGAGCACTAGACTGCTGTTTTCTGCTTAATCCAGGTTTTGTCTATCAGAGACAAGCTGCCCTCAGGAGGACCACTTCCCCCCTAATCTTTGTGTTAAAGTCAATGGGAAACCGTGTAATCTCCCAGTAAGTTAAACTACAGTCCATTCTACAGTCCATTTGTCCATCTATCCATCTTTCTAAACTGAGACACATGGTCGAGACACTGTTGGCGTCTACAGTAAATTACATTTTCACAACGCTGTTTGTTTAAAACAAAAAAATTCTTTTAAATATTTTTATTTGAATGAAATACACAAGTTCATCATTTGTTGTTTTTCACCAGGGATATCTGCCTCCTTCCAAAAATGGCGTGGAACCAAAGAGGCCCAGCAGACCCATCAACATTACCTCATTGATCAGACTGTCCACAACTGTCCCCAACACCATCGTAGTGTCCTGGACCTCAGAAATTGGACGTGTAAGTTAATAATAATCCCTCCCTCTACTGATTTGTGAATACAAGTACTGCAAAATTTGTTTGATAATGTTTTTTTCACCTTTTATGGGAAAGGATGGAAAGTAGTTTGTGGTCTAATAAGACAAATCAAGCAAGCCTATTATAGGAACTCTTGTTGAAATCAACATTTATTTTTAGCTCCCCATATGTGTCTTGCAGCCATTTGCAGTCACATGATGGCCAATTATAGCATCGGCTTAATGCAGTTTGTGTGAAAAGGTCAGCATGTATGTAGTATTTTAGTATTTTCTCGGAGTGGCTTTTGAGGCACAGCTAAAAAAATTAATATCAAAATAAAAATCACTCTTGCAGATGCCCTTATTTCAGTAATTTTTCAGAAAAACAAAAATACTTTTTGTAGAGTATTGATGGAAATGACATAAAACAGAAATGAATTAACTTGCATATTAGTAATTTAAATGCTTTAAGTCTATTCTCTGTGTTGTGGTCTGTGCTAATCGTAAATATTTCCCTGCAGTTTTATACATTATCTGAAATAATTTGTGATCTTTGTGAATGCTCATTTACCTTTGATATGTTCTGGAAATGCATTTGTGATGGATGAATGCTCTTGACCATTAGCAGTTAATGCATATTAAGAAAAAGATTTTGAAAAAAAAAAAAAAACGTCACTGTTTTACTTTGAGACTACTGTAGGCAGACAGGAGTTCATTACTTCATCCACAGATCCCTATATCTTATTAGCTAACATATTCATCTTCTTGCGCATAATACTGCACCTACATATAATATTCAGCTTCATGAATGATGTCATTCCTTATCGTATAACTTACTTCGGCAAGCAATGAGCAATCCTGGTACTCTCTGTGGTAGATTCCTTAAATTTTTCACTCTTGCTCAGGAGTCGTGAAGCTGAATTTACAGCAGTCATTACTCCAGTCTTCAGTGTCACATTGTCACATGACCCATCAGAAATCAATCTCATATGCTGATTTGGTGCTCAAGAAACATTTCTTCTTATTAATGTTGAAAACAATTGTGCTTGTGCTCCGGAATATTTAGGGGAAATTGTGATACATTTCAGGATTCTTTGTTGACCTTTCAGAACAGAAAACTTTTTTTAACATTATAAATGTGGTTACTGTGACTTTATATCAATTTAATGTATCCACACTGTATAAAAATATTAATTGCATTCAAAAAGAAATAAAAATCTTACTAATCCCAACCTTCTGAATGTTTTGTAGGTGTGAATATGATGTATTGAAGTGTTCAATCCTTTATTATTGCCAGGTTAAATGTGACCATATTGTTCTTTCATTCCTCCAGTTTTATTAATAACTCAAAGCCATTTTTTAATAGTAACGCAGTTGTAAAGATCTCTGTGTGTTTTCAGCTGCTAATGTGTGCGTTTGCTCATGTCCTGCAGTAAAGGAAAAGTTAACGGCAGACCCTGACAGTGAAATAGCAACCACCAGCCTAAGAGTTTCATTATTATGTCCGGTAAGCATCTTATTTGTCCGATCACTCGGTTAAACATGCACACACACACACACACACACACACACATACACAATAATGCATATTTTTGGAGCAATTTTTGGTCTTCATGTTAGTTTAAGCCCAAGGACCCGCTGCAACAAACCTCTTAAGCTAAGAAAATTCTTAATTACAATTCCAAACTAATTATCACTAAGGCTTTTTTTTTTTCACTTGACAGGTCTGTTGCAACCAGCTATAGGACCTTACAAAGTCCTTATGAGAACCAGAGCTTTATAACATATTATTATTTAAGATTCTAGTGTTTCAAAGTAAAGATCACACAAAGCAAAGACTGACGTTTTTTATTTTAAACTCAAAATGAAATCAGATTCAGAGCTTTTTATATATTATGACTCATAAATCTGTCTAAAACAATTAGGCTGTTTAATGTCAGTTGTATGTTGCCATGATTATATAAGTTTTGTTCATGTTTCTCTTTTTATTCTTTGGTCTGTGTCCAAGTCTACATCTGTTTATGTATATGTGTGTGTGAGTTTGCCTGGATTTTTTCCATGTGGGATGTCTGTGTGTGTTAATTCCTTCATGATTGTCTGTGCTTTTGTTTGTGTTACGCAGCTGGGAAAGATGCGGCTAATGATTCCGTGTCGGGCGTTGACGTGTTCACACCTGCAGTGTTTTGATGCTACGCTCTACATTCAGATGAATGAAAAGAAGCCCACATGGGTGTGTCCTGTATGTGACAAAAAAGCACCCATATATATATATATTATATGTGACCCTGGACCACAAAACCAGTTATATAAGGGTCAATTTTTTGAAATTGAGATTTATACATCATCTGAAAGCTGAATAAATAAGCTTTCCATTGATGTATGGTTTGTTAGGATAGGATATTTGGCCGAGATACAACTATTTGAAAATCTGGAATCTGAGGGTGCAAAAAAAAATCTAAATATTGAGAAAATCGCCTTTAAAGTTGTCCAGATGAAGTTCTTAGCAATACATATTACTAATCAAAAATTTATTTTTGATATATTTACGGTAGGAAATTTACAAAATGTCTTCATGGAACATAATCTTTACTTTATATCCTAATGATTTTTGGCTTAAAGAAAAATTATAATAATTTTGACCCATACAGTGTATTGTTGACTATTGCTACAAATATACCTGTGCTACTTATGACTGGTTTTATGGTTCAGGGTCACATATATAGTTGTGGTCAAAATATTTATGTAACAATATAAACTCACATTTATTTTTTCTAATATAATTTTGATTTTGCATGAAGTTTTCCAGCTGTTTTCCATTGATTGGATGATCCCTAAATTTACATTCTCTCTTCTCTAATTTCTTTGTGTCTTTTTCCTCTCCTTTTCCCTACCCATTTCTCTGTCCATCCTTAGGTTGTTTATGGAGATTCTGAACAGCTGTTTAGATTGTGACGAAATCCAGTTCAAAGAAGATGGCAGCTGGGCCCCCATGAGGTCGAAAAGGGAAGTGCAGGAGGTGTCGGCTTCATACAATGGTATTGATGGTCAGTCCCAGTTACTGCTGATCATCTCCTCATATTGTTGAGGAAGTGCTGCAGGATGCATTTTGGGTGCATTCTTGAAAATTGAGAATTGGTCTAAGGCATTTTGAAAGCCCTAATACAGTAATTTTGCACAGCATTGTATTTTGATAATTAAAGATTTTTTAAGTAATAAAAAAAAGTTTAAAAAAGTTTTTTATAAACTTATCAAAAGTGACAGTACTGTTACATTGTTACAAAAAAATTAATAAAAAATCAAATCAAATAATTTCAAATAAATGCTGTTCTTTTGAACTTTCTATTCATCAGCGTGTCATAAAAAAAAAGGTTTTCATAGTAGCTTTTCATTTTAATTATGAGAAATGTTTCTTGAGTGTTTCTTGATCTGGTCGATAGTGGCAAACAATGGATGTGACATTAACCTTTCCCTGAGAAATGCCATCCCGCCTTGCCATACACATGCTTATATAAACTGAACATACACCATGAAAATATTTGGTTTACCGTCTGCTGCGTGTTTGTGTGTGTGTGTGTGTGTGTGTGTGTGTGTGTATGTAATCAGGTGTATGTCGTACAACAGTGTTGGAGCAGAACTCTCAAACAAACGGCAACAGTGGAGGCAACAGCAAAAAAGTGGAGGTGATTGATTTGACTCTTGACAGCTCGTCTGAAGAAGAGGAAGATGAAGAACCTCCTCAGAAGAAAAGCTGCCCCTCGCTATCTAGCATCTCTCCTCAGATGGATAATGGGTACATTTCAGTATCATTTCAGTAAAACCGAACAAATTATTTTCTGCTTCTTAAATATGCACAAATAACATTCTATGGGTGGGTTTTGCGAAAGGTTTTACTCAAGCTAGCTTGTTTGTTGGCGTGTTCACAGGGTACTAAATCTCCACAGACAAGCATCTCCTGTGAGTCGAACTCCCAGCATGCCTCAGGTGGACACCAATTACATTCCCCCACCTCCTCCCCTCATTCAGGACTACCGCCACTACTACTCTACACCCGCTGACCTGTCAGGTACTGCACCCAAACATCATTAGGAGCCTGTTTAATGTGGAAAATTTGCTTGTTTAGGCTTTAACATCTGTGCTGATTTATCTGTTACAGAGCTCAACTTTTTTCCTTTTTTACAAGGAGAGAATCATCAGGTAACAATCCAAACTTTTCTTGGCCTGACTGTTAAACTTGATGTAGCTACTCTAGCGACCATCTTTTGAGTTTGCCTGACTCTTTTTTTTTTTTTTTTGCCTGTCCCTCCAGCACTACAACATGGTGATGGCAGCAGCCGCATCAGCCTCTGAAGATCACGACCACCTCCTGAGTCGTTTTCTCCCATACGGCTCGTCCCAGCTCTTCCTGGACCCTCCCTCTACCCCCGCAAGCAACAACCTCCCTCCCATTAACGGGAGTAGCCTGGTGTCCTCCAGCAGCCTGCGGGAATGCCTCGGATATCCACCCGCCCCACGCCCCACCTCCGAATCGGCCCCCACGTCTGCCATCTATGGACCCATCCCAGATGTCATCTCTTTAGACTGACCCAGGACCGAAACTGACTGAAGAGACTTCCAAACATTGGGAAGAAAACGGGACATACAGGATGACTGAAGGGTGTTTTTGTAAACGATGATAATCGTTGCCGTGTACAGAGAACAAATATATTTTTTGTTTTACTTTTGTATATACTTATCTATCTAGCTATTTAATGTATATGTAAACTTGAAAGCGTTTTTCTTCCTCTCTGGCTTGCTAAAATTACTTTGGGTTTTGTCTCCTGGGAAACTGACGCTCTTTTTTCTTCACAGCTTTGTCTCAACCTCTTTAACATAATATGAACACTTTTTATATCCTTTACCCATCATATTCTGTAATCGTCTATATTTTGTCTGATTCCACAGGGCACAATGGCTGCGATCGGACCGTCTGCCGGACTCTTGGTTCTTTTCCCAGCAAAACTTGTTGTCTTTGCCAATCCATAACATTTCACCGAAACATGTAGGATTATTTTATATAATGCTTTTAAAGGGAAAGTTCACCCAAAAATGAACATTCTGTCATCGATTACACACCCTCATATTGTATATTCTTCTGCGGAACACAAAAGAAGATATTTTCAGTGTTTTTTTCCCCCCCATACAATGAAAGTTGGTGGGGTTCAGTGTTGTTTTAGACCCCATTAAAACATTCTTTTGTGTTGCACAGAAGAAAGTCATACAGGTTTGGAAGAGAGTAAATGATGACTAAATCATTTTTTGATGAACACTCCCTTTATTTTGATGGGCCATTAAGAAGCATTCCTTTACGTTCAGGTTAACAACTGGAAGTAATAGCATTGTTACAGATTGCCAATGTCTGACCTCATGATTCTTATGTGAAATGTAATTCATGACTGTTTTTAAAACAATTTAATTCTCTAACAATTTTGCATCCATGTTTTCTTGCTCAATGCCAAAAGAACACTGTTTAGTGTTGAAGATTCTAGAGTGAGAGCTTGTGAGTTCAGTGAACTTAAATGTATACTTTGTGTGGAAAGTAAGGATTTACTCTCTCTTTTTTTTTTTGTGGCTACCATGCTTGATTGTTCATTCATTTTTTCTTTCTCCTTTCCTTCCGTCCCGCTCTTCTTGAATTTTTCAGAAGGAATGATTTGTTTGGAGGCTCTGCAGTGGCGTAGATGGTGAGGTTACGAGGTGTCCTTGGTGTTGCCGTGTAATTGCTCATAGATGTTTGCTTGACTGAGGTCTCTGTTCAGTTGTTGTCTGTTAGGTCATCTGTGTTTGGTACTGTACAGGAAAGCTAAAGCCACTCATCGTTTCTTCTGTTTTGTCACGTGTGCCTTGTGTGAGTGTGTTTTGCGTGTGAGAGACTGAACCTGTTATTATGTATTTCAGTTAGCCTATATTAATCTGTTCTTCATGTCGACCATCAGATATGGTGCTCTTATCTACAGACTTGTTGTTTCTAAGCAAATAATCCTATTGAGTAACCACATTTGGATGTCCTTTCAAGTGCTGATTGGGATTAACACAGGAAGTTTATTGCAAAAATTGTGTTAAAAAATTAAATGGAAATAGTTTATTTAGAAATTGTTAAAAACTTTATATATATATATATATATATATATATATA